GCGCAGTAGTGTTGGGACACGGTGTCTGATTTACATTCTAAAAGGAAACAGAAAGAAAGAAGCGCTATCAGTTGCAGCTAGTATGGGGTACTCACCCACCACGTGCCCCAGCGTAGGTGCCCGCTGGAGGGTCCGAATGGAATACTTCCCCCTCCCCAGGCCTTTGTTCCTGTGTGGCAGCCGCCCTGCAGGGAACTTGGTTACCTTGTGCTCCTACTCACTTGTTCTTTGTCACTATTGTGAAATACCGAGGTGGGGTGACTTTGTAAATTCAAAGAGTTTCTGTGACTCTCACTTGTGGAAGTTCGAAGTTGAGGGCCCATGCAAAGTGGAAAACTTGCAGGTGAAGTCCCAGGTGGTGCGGGGCATCCGGTGGAAGACGGCAGGAGACGTGGCGTGCGTGTGTGCGTGCTTGCGTTCCAGGCTCGCTCCCTCTCCGCAGGGTCCCCACATCTCCACCCCAGCTCCGCCTTGCCGACTTCACCTAAGCCTCACCGCCAGCTCGTCCACCGCCCTGCGCCAGCTTCCTGTCCGCTTCACCCCGCAGTTCGGGCCGCGCCCCAGCTCCTAACCCTGGCGGGCCGCTCCGACCGCGGCGTGGGCACCGGGCTTACGGATGCGAAACGCCTCCCGGCGGCCGCCTGGCCGCCCTCGCGCCCTCCACGTCCTCCTCTCCCCTCCTCTCGCTCTCTTGTGAGTTCCTGCGGTCCAGTCCCTAAACCCGCGGCACCCGCTTCAGCAGGTGCTCTGCTCAGGGGGCAGGGACTTCAGTGCCGGAGGAAATGGTTCTGTCTGGGTGCTGTCTGGGTGATGGAAGAGACTTTCCAGCGGACTGAGAGCGTGCCTCATTTCCACCCGTTTACTGGTTTTGTAGCCGAGGCCTCAGCGTGTGACGTAATCGCATAGTGGCAGCACGTTGGGACCAGACGGGCGGGCTCGGCACGGCAGGCGTGTGGACGGGACGCACGGAGACGCGGGTGTGGGAGGAGCTGCCACTGCACGGCCATCGGGGCGTGAGGCGCACAGGCGCGAGCTGCGCGTGCGGGAGGCAGCGTGGAGCCGCGGCGGCAGCAGGGCGAGGCCGCTTCTGCGCATACAGCAGGCCTGAATCATAAAAGGTGATGGGAGCACGCGGTAGATCATGCACGAAGGACTAAGGGAGTCTGCTAGCACGGCAGCCTCTCCCACTGTTACCCACAGACACTGAACAGATAGCGCTGAGTCTGCGCAGGTGCCCTGTGCGTGCAGATGGCAGCTGCAGGAGCATCCGGCACACACATCGCATGTACACCGCATCCTGTGCACATGTTGTACACGCCAACACTCTGAGCGCACATGTTGTATCCACACCAACACCCTGTGCGCACACACTGTATCTACACCAACACCCTGGGCGCACGTTGTATCTACACCAGCACCCTGGACACACAGTGGATCTACACCAACACTCTGAGCGCACATGTTGTATCCACGCCAACACCCTGTGCGCACACACTGTATCTACACCAACACCCTGGGCACACAGTGTATCTACACCA